GGCGAATCCGATCGACGATCATGAGCTCTGGCTGAGGCTCCCGTTCTGTTGAGAGACGGTGCGCAGTCTCTCGATTGAGAGAAGCTTATGTCTCGATTCCCAAAACAGAAATTGATTAGTTTTTAGCTGATATCCCCTTCGGCTTGGAGAACGCAAACGATGATAGCGCGAATAGAAAGAAATCTTTCCCGAAATAGATGCCTATTTACTCGGGAGAATTTCTGCGGAATATAATGTCGTGCATCGCACGTTACTCTTGTCCTGTCCAATTTTCCACGAATGACCGAGTTCATTCTGAAATGGCAAACATCGGTCTGGATTGTCGAGGATCGTCGCAAACAAAACCGACTCCTGCACTGCTCTCAGGGTTCTACACTATGTGCTGGAGAAGGTATCGGTGTATCCAGGGATCTAATCGCGGTCCGAGCGACAATTTGTCCCCCCGCGATATGATTGGAACTGAATCCGCAAGGGACTCCGGGAAACTTTTCTCGAATTCCTCGAGCTCTCGTTTCTTTTTTCCATTTCGGCCTAACTTGTCGCCGTCCGCCGCTGATTCGGCAGCGATTTTCCCTCCAGGAATTTGTAAAGAAGTCATTGTTCGGAGAAAAGACACGATGCAAGGTTCGAAGTAGGCCCTCGTGAATGAACGCGCACTTGTGTCTTGACGAACCGTAATGAGTGTTATACCGCGCTAAGCAAATTAGCTGCAGAGAGAATCTTTGCCGAGGGACCCGAGGGTAGGCGGTGTGACTCCAAACGCGACCCGAGCTAATAGGATTTCGAGAGCGAGTTCTGTCTTGGGATTCAAAGAGACACGGAACTTTCCGAGTATTGACAATCGAATCAAATTGTTGCGCCATCCCCGTGCAGCTTCAACCACCGAGCCGGTCTGTCACACGGCAGTTTCCACTCCATCTGCTTTCCCCCTCGAGTTGCATCCTCTAGCGTGGAGATTCCCTTCTGTCCCGATTTAGGCTCTGGGGGGATTCAACCCGATACGAAACGGTAGAAGCGACTTAGTACCTTGTTTCCCCTGAAGTTTCCATTCCGAGGTCAGAACTCGTCCTTGTCTTGCTCCCGTCCGACCGAGCTGAATTCGAGTACGTTGGTGAATTCTCTCTGAGGGCCCGAGTACTCGCCTTACACGACTGTGGGAAGTTGTCAGGAGCACAGGGGAAACGAACTGCGTAGCGGGCCAGCAAACGGAAGTTTTCTCCTTTACTGGGGCTCCGACCACGATTTCAGCCGCGAGCCGATTCCAAACAGCCGTGTGCTAAACTGACCTCCGGCTGTTTCCTGCGGCGGATGCCCGGGTTCCAGTCCGTCCACTCGAACAGTGGAATTCGACGGCGAAACGAAATCATGTACGGCGTAGCACCATCCGCGGACGCGTTGTCCTTCCAGAATTCATCGTCCCGAGTCCGGGCAGGAAATCATTCTCCGATGAGATTTCGTCTCCCAGGAGAAGCGAGCGCGCCCTCGAATCTAATGCCAGCAGATGTTTTCCGGTCCCTTCAGATGCTCTTCGTCCGCACAGAGCCCGATACGGGGCTCAACGAGTTTGCTAGAAATAAAAAGTTTCGAGATCCCTTTGTTCGACTTCTAATGACATAGTGAACTTCGAGCTCGCATCAGTCGGAGCGAATTAGCAGGAGTTGTCAAAAACGTAGGTTCACTCCTCGAGATCGTCGAGAGGGACATTCCCGTCGAGACGGAACTCCGACGAAGGGCTCTGAAAGTTCCGCAACGAGGCGCGTTCGCCCCGAGGCAAAAAACGATATACCAATATACCCCGACGGGAGCACCGACGAAGCACTTGCTTTTGTTTAATTTCGGCTTCGACCTCTCGGAGACGCTTTCTCCGACCAGACGCCTCCCGTTTTCTTCCGGGCCCACAGACTCGTTGGGTAGCAAGGTAAGTGAGTGCGAAGGGGGACCTGGCATTTGTCTGCAATGCGAGATGGGGAAACGCTGCATTGTGACCTGGAGGTTGCCGCAGCAGCAACAGCAGCAGGAAGCGCGGCAGCAGGTGTTCAGGGAAGGGTTTCCCCTCTCCATCTCCAGGAGGACCGTCTCCCTGCTATTCCTCACCGAGCCAGCCCGCCCGCCCGCCAGCCACCCGCAGCGGGAGAGAGCCGGGGAAACCTTTTCAAATGAAGTTCTGAGCGGCGACACGCTTCAAACTAACGCTGTTAGTTTGAGGAATTCGACACACGACTCCAAGGGTTTCGGGGTTTGCTTCCGGAATGTTCTGACTCCACGCGGGAAATAGTCCGCTCGGGATGCCACTCAAACTCCAGATTGAAATTAGATGCCGCAGCTTTCAAACGCAGCCCATGAAAATTCGCGGCTAGATCCCGTTATGCGCCTCAGGTCATGTCATTCATGTCAATCAACAAGTTTTCCAGCATCAGGTCGGCGAGTACCGAATTGGGTCGACCGACGAACACTGGCTCCCTCTCCCGCAGTCGGCAATTGAAGCTCCCTGCCCTTTCCACATTCTACCTGGCCCGGTAGAGTCAGCTTGGGAATCTGCGGTGGCTACGCGAGAGGCTGCTGCTGCTGGCACACTGACTGACAGCAGACCCCTGGCTGAATTCAGTGTTCTCGTGGCGTTCGCTGTTTAGATGGCGAGCTTTACACCTCCACTTCCTAACTATATCGATCCGGATGGACCTCCCCCGGATCCGAAGCATGTGCGCCAACCCAGAGGAAAGTCGTCTATCAGTATGTTTGTGGGTGCGGACAGAGAGGAATCGCACGTGACTCGAGTCGGGTAAGCCAGGGCTCCAAAGCTATCGTTCCTCGCCCTCGAATTCGATCCTTGAATGTTTCGGAAATCTGTAGATCTCGAACCCGTCATTAAAGTAGTAGCTGCCTTGAGTCCCTAGAGTGAGAGAAAGTCGTCATCACCAACATCCTAGTGAGTTGCTCGGTGGCCCCCCGGCCGCTACTGCCACCAGCAACGTGTGCGAACCCAAATTAAGATGTAGGTCCTCTCATCTCTCTCCACACGGTGTCGACTGAGGCTCCTCGTAGATTAACCTCGACCTAATCCCAGACCAGCAGTTGGATTCAAGAATGTCGGTAGAGTCTTCCAATGTGTACCAACCTCCGGCTAGACACAGAGTCCTGCATCGAATATTTTCTCGAACATCCAATAAAGATCAACCAAGGCCATACCCTCCGCGTCTTCCATACCGTCTAGCATGCAGCTTCGGAAACCTATAGTCGATCCGGGGATAATATCCCTAAATCACCCAGGGAGCCAACAGACATGAACGGTCTGCAATAGTCCACGTCCAGATAGATTTTCCCCCTAGATATCATTGCAGATGATAATCTTTCCAGAATCGCTCCATCAGGAGGGCTGTGAGTACCTAAGTTAGCTCCCATCTGCGGAAAGCTGTACGGACACCGCTGTGACGTACTTTGCCCGTGAGCCCCCGTTTGGTGGACTTTGTAAAATCGACTTATATGTATATCAATAATTGATTTACTTGTTTATGAGAAATTCATGTATTTTTTCAAAGCGTGTCGTAAAGGGATGACCCTACAGTTCTCAATAGGAGCTGCGAAGAATCGAGCAAGGATATATTTGATATTGCGTCGCGTCGTCCGATTTCGAACTCTGCGAACTCTCGAGGGGAGAAGTCTCGATGGTCAGCGGACGATGGCTCATGATAAATCGCCACCAGTTCGATCGAGTTGATGTGAATTATGCATCCTTCCTCTCCTTGGAGGCTGAATATGGAATCCTTGAGTGAATCAATGTATACTCTCGAATCATTCACAAACGAATCACCGCTGACGCATGAAGAGAGTGGAGTACAAAATCATATTCGTCCAAGTTTCGCTCGATCAGATATTGCGGCCTGTGGCCTGAAACTCCAGATATAATGTCATTGCGCATCATGACAGAATGAAGAAATATCTTGCGTTCGCAACCTCGCATACACTCGCGAGCTCTCCAGGATATAATTGAGAAAGAAGCGGACAAGAATTACTCATGGAGCTCTGCATACGCTCGAAGCAAGGAGCAAGAATGAGAGAATGAGCAGCGCAGCTAAAAATTCATCAAGGCCCCCTCGATGTTATTTTTCGCGAGAGAACAGCCGAGCCACCGGCGTGTTTACGACTTGCTTTTGTGAGTTTCTGCGATGAGGTCGCCGTCGAGGTCCCACCGCTCCGTCTCGAACCGGAGCAGGACTCAGGGAGAGAACAATCTGAGGAATCTGCGAGGTTTTCCGCAGCATTCGTCTGTATTTGGTGGACGCTAGAGTTACCGGTGTTATCCTATGAAAACCGGAAGCTGAAGGCTGAAACGGGTATTGGGTTTTTTTTCCCGAAATAGCCCGGCTCCAGACCTTGAATGAATTTCCTATTTTTATTCGCAACGTTCTGGAACAGGCTAATCCGTTTATTTCGCTTACCTATCGAACCAAAGATAAGAATTTCAGCGTCTGCTTCCCAGAAGCTCAATCGAACCTGAAACGAATCTTGGGATCCGTCGGGGCGCTGTCGGAGAATCGAGTCGGTGTCGGGGATAGTGAGGTCCAATGGAGATCCAAATATTTTTAGCCGAGCTCCTCCGCACACGCTAGAAGGGGCCGTTCTTTGTGAGAATACTTACCCTTGCCCGCTGAAGTCTCCGCTGGTCAAGTCGACTACGATCCAATGTAGATCGTGCGGGAGTGCAAGCAAGGTAGGGCGCTGCCGAAGAGAGCAGAATGCCCTGTGAATGTCGGAGATATCTTCCATCGCCTATGCGTCGCTGAAATTTCATTCACGACCTGTTCAACAAATCGATAATTGTCCGTAGAGATCACGATGATCGACTTCGGCCGAATAGTGAGACGACGACGACCCCAACCGGACATGACATGAGGCCATGATAACTGTCACTTATGCTCCGTGCGACGCTGGTATGGTGCGATCGTTTCGAGTGCTGACGCCGAGGTTTCCATTCGCCTGAGTGTTCTTCGGTCTATTCAACAATGGAACAACTTGTGAGGAGGTTCTCGATCGCGTCGAGTGGCCCGAGCCGTCGTGGTTCGAGCAAGACCGTCACGTTTGAAGATGATTCAGAAGAAGGAGTGCTCACCAGGATCGCAAAGCATTTGACCTGCCATCCCGAATACCATGTGTACGACAACCAGTTTATTCACGTGAGACGCCGGAGTTCGGGACCAGAGTTCAGTCACGAGAGGTATCACAGACACCACAGAGCTTCCCGAAGCTTTGCCTCTCCTCCCGGTTACCACTGCCATCCTCGCCGGAATTCGAGCTCTCGACCTCCTGAGGGCTTCGGACTCGGGAGCGTTTTCTGCGTCAGAAGAAAATCCATGGCCGAGTACTACAGGTATGAGGGCCGGAGCGCAATTTTTTCTAAGGGAAGAGCGAGTTCTCCAACGACAGGTTGTTCCTCGACCCAAAATGGTGGGCTCAGAAGGTCTGCTGGACCTGCGGCCGCGGACGGGACGTCCGATCAAAATCGGGGAGTGGGAAGTGAACCCTCGAGGAAATCTTCAACACTTATTAGACAGGAGATGGCCCTAGAAGTTATTGCGCAAACTCTCGGTTTCGGTTGAGGATTCAATATCTGAACTTTGACTCACCTTGACCTTCTTCCGATCTCGCGGTCGGGCAAGCATCATGTCGAAAGCGGTCATCGGCCCTTCGACGCTACGCCAAGGAAGAATTAGGTAGCTCGAACATCGTTCCTTGTCCGTCGATCATGATGTCATTCGTGCAGGGGATGCGCGCGTATAAGAATATTTATCATCCGGAGCGTGACCATCGCGGCGACTTACGGACGCGGTGTCGGTGAGTCTCAGCTCTCCTTCGCTCTGGAAATTCGGATGAGGATCTGCTCCATGGAAGGAGGGAGCATATCGTTGATCGAGAGAGTTCCCAGTGCGTGGGGGAAAGCTACTCAAGCGGCAGGTTCCAGTTTTGACCCTCGTTCTGGTGGCGAGCGCGCGGGTCTGACTGCTGATGATAATGGATCCGGTTAAGCGTGCTCGAAGAGATCTCACACTTCGCCGTCCTTTGACCCTAAGTTCGAATGGAGTCAAGTTGAACAATGATTGTTCGACTCCGTGAAGCTCGACGGCGACTATCCCCGCCCCTCTTGCCGGAGGCAATTAGGCTTTTGAGAGGCTCTGATTATTGCAAAAATTACGAAATCCAGAGGAAGCTTCCTAGGATTCTAAAAATACACGATCAAGAGCGACGGATGAGCTGCGTGAGCTCATCTGTCGCTGCTCTGGGGCCAATGGAATTCTGGCTTGGGGTACGACCTCCCGAACCATGTCCGCAATCACTTACGAGTTCCGGTGGCGGGGGAACGCTCTCACGTTATCGATCGGGAAAAATGCGACAAATACCGCTGTACACTCTGACTCTGGGAATATTTACTGCGGCTGCCACCACACTCCGCATTCAAATTCGAATCTACTTGCCTGATTGAAAACGGCACCTCGGAACATCGTGTTCGGGAAAAGAAGAATTTTCTCCCGGCGTCGGAGCGAGTAATGCAAGGGATTGCATCGGTCCACGTTCCAGCCCTGATGATCCGAAGAGCCGGAATGCTGGGATTAGGATCGTGGAGCCCGCGGAGAGATCAGCGACGAGCGAAGACTCGAAATCTCCGGGAAATTGAAGAGCAATTCCGAAGGCAAGACGTTGCGCCGTCATCCCGGATCCGTTTCTGTGGGGAAAAATCAGAAACGAATGGAATCAGGAGGAAGAGAGACACGCTCAAACAGAAGCTATTCCTGGGCGAGCTCTCGGTACCACAGCAAGTTCTCGGGGCGTTGTTATGGAGTCGTTCGGACGTGGTGGCAGCAATTGCCAGGTTGTTCTCATCAGAGAGACGACGGAGCGGCTCTCTTTTTCCAGACCCCTTGCACGTCCCCTTTGAGCAGCTTAGGAAGCGCCAGCGGGTGGAGAGCAGCCAAATTTAGATATTGCATCGGGTTTGCCGAAACTGTCGGCTCACTCTTCACCAGTGGCCCTTACGAACCATCCGTACGTTGCTCGCGTGGCTGGGATGTTGCTTCCTTTGGGAGACTCTCGGGTTCCGCTCGCGTACTCTTCCTGCAAGCGAATCAACGCTGTGACCCTTCATTCCGATGCACGCGTAGTCGAGCCCATTGGAGCTGCACGGGAACCCCGACGGAGAAACCCGGCCGTCCGGTAGAAGTCGCAAGCCTCCTCCGCCTCCTCATTCCTTGAGTATCGGAGTAGAGTGTTACCTCGCGAGTTCCGCAGTCATCGAAAAGTTCGAGAAACGCGGACTTTGCTCTGGAGATCGACACGCTCGAGTGTTGTCGAGCCCGTATGATGGCTCTGAAGTGTCCATTGTTCCTACAATCGACTCCGAACTACACGTATTCGAACGGGTAAGCTCTTTCGCTTTCTATTTCCCCCCCGGGGATCAGCGACGGGTGTTCGACGACGAAAGCTCGAAAATCTTTGCCAGAAACTAAAGCGGAAATCTGTGTCGAAAAATCGAAGAGGAAGTCTGTATCAGACAGCACAGGGGAAGCTTCGGCGACAAACTCGCGTTGAAGTTGCTGGCAGGAAGTCAGGCTAAAGCCCGTCGAAATTGAACCTTTCGGGGGAAAATCAAGCGACAACAGATTTCAAGGCTCCCAACAAGTTTCGTGACAGGATCCGAGTGGGGCAGGAAGCTCCGCTTGAAATGCTGCGGATCCAGTCAACTGATAGTGTCAAGAAGTCGGCGAAATGTCGGAAGTTTTCCTTCGAGTACGAAATCAGGTCCAGAGAATTCTGATGGAAGCTTCCAAAGTCCGGGCGAGAGCCTTGATTGCGCCAGGAAATACATTTCACCTCCTACCTGGGCCTCAATGCGCATTCTTTGGTCCGTCGGCGTCGTTAGACGATGAGGAGCCAATGATCCTTCCATTTCGACTATCAGAGTTCCGTGGAAGGCCATCGTGATCGAACGCGTCCTGTGGCAATCTCGTGACGAATCGGAAGGAAAGAAAGAATTGGTATTTATGCGGCAGCCTCCATCTGAGCGATGCGCAGCAATGAGACGCGCATCCTCCTTTTACATCCAGGATCACGGGATCCGAAGATGGAATTGAGTTAACTGCACGGGCAAGCATTGGTGGACTCGACCGCTTCTTTATCTTCTCGACAGTTCAGCGGCTCGAGTCGGAGTTGGAATGGAAACTTCATCCAGGTTTCGCCCGAGTGCATTGGGCATGAGCGAGCCAGCCAGTGTTTTCTTCGAACGGATTTAATAATGAACAACAATCATTCCGATCAGTGTCGGCATCGGGCCGATAAAGTCCCTTGATTTTTCCGCCGGTGTTCTCATAGAGGAACAGCAGGGACGACACGCGTTATAAACTGGGAGTCATTCCCGCAACAAGTGGTTGAGGATGAGAGTGGGTGTTTTGCGTGGGCGAGGGCTCGCAGAGGTCGTGGGACTCCTGATAATTGTAGTTCAAGTTCATTACCGTGTATTAACTTCGGATTGTTTACGTCGTGTTGTTTGATGGGGGAGGAATAACATTACGGCTCTCGGATCGCGCGGTGACTGCGCTGGGTGCTCGTACGGGTTGAACATCAGAGTCGAAGCAGCTGATGAGCTCTTTTGTTGCGCAGAGTAGGTATTGGGTTTCTACGAGGCAAGATCGAAAGCTCATCCGAATATTTATCGGCAGCCTCGGATTTGTGGGGCTTTGTAAACACGCAGAGATTGCTTTGACCTTCGGTGATAATTGGAGGCGGCTGACAAGTTGCTTGATTGGCGGCTATCGCTTCTTGTGTCCTCGAGTGAAGGATAAGATGGCGGCCCCGAGCTCTCGGGCGAGTTCTCGATGTCGCAGAACATCATGCTCGGAACGAGAACGCGCGAGATCAGGGAAAGTCGGAAAATCCGAAACGATTTCTGTGCTCCGATATCGATATAGTAATTCAAAAATCCTGAGGGATCACGAGTATTCTAGATTTCGCATGGAGCGAGGAAATTTTCGCGGTACCGATTCCGATCGGCGCCGAGAGCCACCAGCCTGCCAGCACCGGAGATTCTACGTGATTCGATTCCGATACTCGAACCTTGAAGCGGATACGTTCACGTGACGTTTTGCAAGTCGACGGCATTCCGAGCGGAGTCGATATCGTTTGGAAAACCCTCGGTTGCCCCGATTGACGACCGCGGAGACTCTGCAAGCCGATTGCATCAATTGAGAGGTTCTGCCCAATGGCTCCCAAATCTGAAGTTCTTTTCGCGTGTGGTGCGTCATTCCTAGGATCCGTGCGAAACACACACATCTACGTCCCACAGAAGGAACGCCTCTCACCCAGAACAAAGCGGTCTAGGATGCAAGTGAAGCCGGGAGAACGACGAGACCAAGGCGCGAATCGCCAGCAGAATGAGGACGGCTCACGTTGCCACGCAGGCAAGGAGGCCTGTCACCATCGCGAGCGGACTGAGCTACGAAAACAGATGTCAATGCCGCGCAGTCTCTCTCGAAATTAGAGGACGCAACTTCCGCGGAATATATAACTCCCTGAAAAACGCTCTGTCCCATTTCGGAACTCCCGTTCCCGCTGTGAGGGAGTCGAGGCGACCTGAAGATCGTGGAGTCTGCAACAGACGAAGCGCAGAAGGATCTTCTTATTATCTCGGAGCCCGGATCACAGGAGGAGACGCGCATCGAATGGAGATGCGCTGCGTCATCCTCCGTGACGACGCGACGTCGCGTCGGCGCGACTCGAAAACCGGCGCAAGACTTTTTCGGCTTGAGCTCGTCAGAGCCAGAAGTAAGTTGAGCACATTTTCAAGTCTTGCCTCATCTAAAAGAATGGCGCTTGCCCTTCCCCACGGCAGGTTACCTGAGCTCTTTCCACCGATAAGCGTTTCGCTGTTGCGTAGACGGTATGACGTCGCCGAAATACGCGATCCTCACAATGCACTCACACAATGCTGATTTGATGGATGATGTCTCTATTCGCCCACAATATCTACGGACTCTCTGCGGTATGGCGAAAGATCTGGCTCACGACCGAGCTTATAAACTTGAGGATTTTCGTAAGAGGAGCCTCTCTTCCCGGAATAACATGTGGAACGGATCCTCGAGTATCAACTTGTTCTGGTTAGTCAAGTATTTTCCTCCCACGAGAAGTGAGTGAGCGAAAAAACCACGTTCTAAGAACGGAGTTCAGATTCCGAAGACCTTTGGTTAGACGGCGTTACGCCCGTCCAAGCGACCGTGGAATAAGAGCAGGAGCTGATCCTCTACGACAGACGAGCCTTTCTCCGAGTGGCGGCAACCTTTCCGTGGAGTTAAGCCACGTAATTCGAACGCATTGCCCCTGACA